TGGCAAGCTAAGAAAATGTTTATCTCCCTGAGCCTGGCCTTCATAATTCCATTCCATCACAATATCTCAGGTAACTCAGTGGATGTTTACTGCAGTCCCGTGAACTCAAATACCCATCTCTCTCCCCTCCCCTTTACAGTCCAAGCAACTAGGGAGGGTCCCTTCTGAGATGTTTTCCACACCTCCATTGTTTCTGTGGGCTCAGCTGCCTCTTATCTGACCATTGCCTAGCCTGCAAGGTCACTCACGCAGACCATTACAGAAGCTGGTCTTTGTGTCTAAGGGGTGGGGGCTGGCAACAGAAGGAAAGGGTGAAATTTGCCTTGTGACCCCCTGAGCTGAACTCCTCCCCTTTGTACCAGCATGCATTGTTGCATGAAGGTAGGCAAGGGGCGGAACCTGTGCAATGACATCGCAACACACATTTTGTCATTTTGATGAAACTTCGACTTGCCACGTCTGCTCTGAATTTTTTAAATTATTCTTTTTTTTCTTTAATCTTAAAGAAGAAGAATTTTTTAAAAATATTAAAAGTACAAACTAAGAATGCAGACTAAGAAAAAAAAAGAAAGAAAAAAAATCTACCTAATAATAATAGTAATAATAATAATAATTTATTAAATGTGTATGCCGCCTAACTCCCAGGGACTCTGGGTGGTGGGAGTTATACATTTTATTTATTTATTTATTTATTTATTTATTTATTTATATCTGTCTGTCTGTCTGTCTGTTTATCTATCTATCTATCTATCTATCTATCTATCTATCTATCTATCTATCTTTATATCTTACATTTTACCCATAATCACTGGTTTACTAATGAATTCACTGCCATAATATGAACACTGCAAGATATCTGTAAGACGTCACAAAACATCTGCCATAGTAACACATATTGCTTCATCCTTTGATAAGGAGAAAATTTTGCCTTTTCCAAAAACAGATGAATCACACATTTCCAACAACCGTTCCTTGGAATGATATCACTTTTCCAACGTCTTAATATCATTCTTTTTGCCACCCCTCCATGCTCAATTCGGCCATCATTCCTGCTCTGAGTTCTGATCCTGTCATCAGAAGGTTTCATCTCAAACGTTGCACGTGGGCCAATCAAGAAAACGTGTAACAAAATACCTTTTAATCAGCTCAGCTTTAGTAGATTAATTGCTGGAAGACTGATTGTACTTGGTTCCCGGTCAAGGATTCATTTTATGTCAATGTTTAGGTGGCTTTGTTTGTGTAGCGATCGGCTCATAAAAATCTCTGGAAACTTCCTTGTAAGAATTAATACTCGGGGTTATGAGAGTCAGGGCTGTTGTGTGGTTCCTTCACGATTTCCCAGGGAGACTTTTGAAAACATTTTTAAAAGGCAATGATTACTGCTATAATCATTTGAATATGGACATAAGCTGCGAATGTAAAGTCGTCGACTACTCTGTGATCGAGCAAACAGAGAAATGAGTTATTCACTTTATTATTTCGTGTCATTTCATTTTAAAGTTTGAGCCCGGTTGGCTTTGATTCCAGTATTGGACTTTATTCTGATAAATGGCATGATGAAAAGATCAACAGAACGATCAAACAGGGGTGTCTGAGGGGGTCAAAAAAGTCAAGGTGGCGGCAACGGCTGTGTGATCAAAGCCACGCCCTTTTTTGGGCAGCGCACAGAAGAGGAATGGGTTTTCTTAATTTTCTTTTACCCCCACAACAATACCCCTAGATCAGAGATAGCTGATTATCCTGAAATCTGAGCTTTTGTCGGTCCCCAAAGATCCTGCTTTGCCTATGTTTCATTTCAACACATTGAGGACTAGATGCTTGCTTTACCCCTGAGAGCCGAGCTCCTTCAAGAGTCCAAATTCCGCAACAGCCAGCAAGGACTTTGTAAAATCCTGTAGGTGTGGATTTTCAGGGAAGGGGGGGAAAAAGGCATTATTGATCCATCCTGGGCCTCCTGTGGCCAAAACACATCTGGACCACGGCCATAATTTCTCCCTCCCTAACATCTGTTTGCAGGCTGGTCCTCCCATACGTCCGGCACTTGAAAGGGGAGGATGACAAGCCGCTGCCCCCAATCAAGCCTCGAAAACAGTACAAGATCTCCAAGGAGCCGAAGGGGGATCGCGCGGCGGAGAAGAAGAGAACGAAGAAAGAGAAGATGAGAGATCCGGTAAGACGTGGGAGATCGTCTTTCTTCCAATGATGCCTTCTTGCACGCTGAGCAACGCAGGGGTGGGCAACCGATATGCTGCACGTGGGCCCCGGAGGCGGCCACCTGAGGGTGGGTCAAAAAAGTCAAGATGGTGGCCACCACCATGGATACCTCACAGGAGCATCCATTGGAAGGGGTCAAAAAAGTCGAGGTAGTGCTCACCACCGTGTGCTAGAAACCTTGACCCTTTTTACATGCACGTAAAAAAGGTTCAAGGGTTCTGTCGCAGGCTGGTGGCCCCCATCTTGACTTTTTTGACCCCTCCCAGTGGACGCTGCTGTGCTTCATCCATGGTGGATGTGAATTCACTTAAAATAGGGCAAAGTTTCTTTTTTCTTTAATACGTACAAACAAGAAGAAGGAACCATCCAGTGGAGATGTTAGTGTGAAGTGTGAAGCTGAAGACAGAAACCTTTATTGTATAACCAACAGTTTGATGTATTTTGCCGTGGCTTAATGAGGCCACGTTTAGCTTTGGGTGCAAAATTTAAACAACTTTATCCTTATCAGCACTGGCATTTGAGGAATCAGAGTTCATACTGATAAACCTCTTTCTCTCTGAAGGCTGAATTTGTCTAAATATTGCAGCATTTATAATCTCTAGTCAATCTTGTATAAATACCACTGCATTCCAATAATAAAATGTATGACTTCTGTTTTATAGTAATACAATAAATTACGGGTGGGGGGAAGGGACAGGGTGTCTATCGCAGGGTGGTGGCCACCATATCGACTTTTTTGACCTCACCCAGTGGACGCTACTGCGATGCAACCACATTCATGCCTCCAGCCCCACTCCATAGAAATAGAATTAGAAACTCCCCCATGAATGCCTGGGGTTTTATTTTATTTTATTTTATTTTGAGGGGAAGCTGTAACCTGAAATATTCTGTAATACAGCAAGAAGAAATAAAATGAGGCTTTTGCTCCCACTGCATGGGTGGGGCCAAAGCATTGGGACTTTTTTGGTATATTTTCTGGGTACCTTAAGGGGCAAAACAGGGGGAGGTAGACACTTGTACTTCATCTGCCCCAAAACAGGACTGAGGTTGAAGGACCAAGATGCCATTTTTCTGGATGTTTTAGCTCCATCCATTCATTAAGTCCCTGGCGATGGACGATGGGACCTCTGGATAGGGCATTCTGGCCAAGGATGTCCCTCAGATGCCCCAAAATTGCCCCTCTCTCTCCTTTATGGCCCAGTTGGCACAGCCACACAGGTCCCCCATTAGATCCTTCCCCAATAGATGGTTCTAACATCAACCCCCTTTCACCCCCTTTTTCCCGGTCCCCTGCTTCCCTCAAGGCATGTGGGGATCAAGGCCATCCTCAAAGGAGGTCAAAAAAGCCAAGATGGCAGTCACAGCCATGCCATCAAAGTCCTGCCTCTCCTTTATATGGGTCGCATATGATTGCACAGTCACCATCTTTTTTCTCAATCTCCCTGGGCACCTCCTTCTTTATCTCGTCTTCACCCCAAGTTTCTGGAAACTTGAAAGCTGGTTCACGTTCGTGCGGCAAGTCAGTCGACCCCACCGTGCAGAGGATTTTGGATCTTTGCAAGAAAACGGGCACCTCTCTCTTTCCATGGCTTGCTTTCCCCCAGCCTGGAGCCCTCCAAGTTATGATGGGCTTCAGCTCCTTCTGGGAAGCCCAACGCATCTGGAGGCTACCAGGTTGAGGAGAACCTAGTTTATGGCTTTGCCATCCCAAAACAGACCTTGGATGTGAACATTTCTTGGGGTTGGCTGCCCTCTGGGGTTGGCTTGGAGAAGGCATCCAGGGACATTTTCGCGCTCGTTCCCTTCCTGGACATCACCTTTCACACCATCAAGCAACAACATCTGCCTATCTCAGGTCCTTGGGAAGGACTCGATAGGTGGATAAAAATGCCTTCCAAACCCAGACAAGGTCTGTCAGAGGCTTTACCCTGTGGTCGGCATACATTTTAAAACAACAACAACACCTTCTCCATATAAAAAAAGCCAACAAATTCCACGGGAGTGAAAAAAGTATGTTCTGTTGTTGATGCGGAAAACTCACAATTCTGTCTTACTAAGAGGAGATAAGCGAGAACCCTGTTGGCACCCTCAGCTGAACCTTGAGGAATGAGGAGTCCTATTCATCTGCATTTTGCCGATGTGTAGAAGGGCCTCCTTGGCTCCCTCTTGGCTCCCCTTGTAAATTAAATATTCTCCTTTGTTTGCAGGGTCTGCCGGAGAAAGTGAGACCAGATGTTGCTTCGGTCCCCAAACCTCCCAACGCTATGGAGCCGAACCAGCCCCGGGAGCAGACGGAGGGGCGTCTCTCCCTTCCAAGCAGCCGAGAGATGCCTGAGACTCAGCCCACTGGCAGCTGCCTGGGGAACTGTCGGTCCCACGGTTGCTCCGAAGCCTACACCCGGCTCTTCTCCAGCTTCTACTTCAGGGGGAACAATGGCATCATGTCTCCCTTGGCGAAGAAGAAGCTGCTGGCGCAGGTGAGCCAGGATGAGTGCTTGTATGCTCATGAGAAGCATCTCAGCCACTGCCCCGAATACAAGAAGACCAGAATCCGGGAAATGTCAGGCTTGGAGTCTGAGGCTGGTCGTCCCCACAGAGAGGCAGCAAAGACAGGAGCAGAGGTGAACGGCTCCAGCAGTCGTCCTGGTCCTTCCCAGGTTGGAAAAGCCCATGAAGGCTTGTTGAAGGTTCCTCTGAATCTCAAGGAGAGCCCAGGGTGCATGAAAGCAGATGAGGAAAGCTGTGGGGCTCACCCATCCACCGGGCCACCAGTCTTTAGTGGATACTTTCACACAGCCAGAAGCTCTGTCATGAAACCCATCAGCGGCCTTCCTCTTCGAGGACCGGTGGAATATTATCCCGGCTTGAAGGATTTCTCTGAGACTTCTCCAGCCTACCTGAAGCCTGGAAAAGATGTGCTGGTAGCTCCAGGGTCTCAGAAAAAGCAGGAGAGCTTGGAGGACCAGCCCGAAGATCTCCGTAGGAAGTCAAGTCAACCTCTGTCTTCTTGGAAAGGGGACCATCAGCACTCTTCTGCTTTCCAGGCAAGTCCCCTGAGCGGCAAGGCAGGGTCTCCCACATTTCCACCAGTCAAAGCCTCCTGGGTTCCACCCGTGGTCAACCTGGCAAAGGTCAGTCCGCAGGTCTCCAAGAACGGAGGGCCGTCCGTGTCTCCAGGCCAGGCGGGCATCCCCGTGCAGAAGAAAAGAGCCTCGGAGGAGGATTATTTCCTGCATGGCAAGAAGCTGAAGGCTGTGTCCCCCTTCATCAAGGAGGCGGACCCAAACAATGGGCTGGAGCGGGGGACGTCCCCGAGCGGGCAGCCGGGGATCGCAAAGCCCAAAGCAACGGTGGCGGGGTCAGGATTCCCGGTGGCTCCCGTGCCTCAACTCCAGGACGTGTACAAGGGCACGATGCTGAGGTTGCCTGTTAACTTTGGCAGCCCGGGAGAACACCTCAAGGAGCAGGGCCCTTCACTGATCCAGTCTCTCTCCATCAATCCGTTTATTATCCCCGCCTTCCCCACCCCACTATTAACTGCGTCTGTCCAAGCTTCGGACCTGGGCCAGCCTCTGGGGACCAGCCTAGTCCATTACCCCACTTCCTACGACAGTGCACTACGCCACCGGCTGTACCCGGTGTCCACGTGGCACAGCCAGCCAGCCTATGCTTCTGCCCATGTCCCAGCCTACCATCGGAACACCAAGCTGTAGCCCCCCCACTCCTCCCCAGGACCACCAAAGACTTGTCACATTTGGGAGCAGTGCGAGGGATGTGCGAACCTCACGTCCGCAGCCTTTCGACTTTTTGATTCTCCTGCTTTTCCGAGCTCTTATCTAGGACACTGCAAAACAGGACCCTATAACTTAAAAAAAAAAAAAAAAACTGCTCAGACTATGAACTGTCTTTGTATCTGACATGATATGCAAATAACTTGTGCTTAAAAAAAAACTTAAGAGGGAACAAAGTTCTTATAAACAGAGATTTATATCTGTGCACGGCGTGGGCCTAATTTCCTTCTAATTTGCCCATTCTTCGTAGGCTGCTTCAAATGCTGCTGGCATGCACAAGTGACTAGTCCTCAAGAGGACCATGTGAGTTATGGGGTGGAGGTAGAATAGGGGAAAGAGGAGAACCTGGTTTAATGACCAACCCATGGGATTCTGGATGTGACCTGAGCCTCTGCAATTAGCTCTGGGTGTTGCTTAACTCGTAAAAAGGAACACGCTTCGGTCTGAGGATTAGGTTACAGGAAGAATTAATTTTTTTTTCTTTTTTCTTTTAAGAATTGTGGGCACATTTGAATTTGGAGAGCACATTATGGGCATTCTCCAGAAAGAGCTGCCAGTCCCAAAAGGTGGATCTCCAAGCTGTCATTTTCAGGCAAAGGGCTCAGCGACTTTTGCTGGATATCCAACTTTAGGCAGGCAAGAAACTGAGCCAAGATAAATCTTTGCCTCGGGGACAGATATTTTTTTTTTTAAGTCTCGAGGGGAATCATACACACACAGTATATATGTTTATTGTAAAGAGGAAAGAGCACTGATTGCCAATATATTCTTGTATTCCAATATAAAGATACTATAAAATAACAAAAGGCAGTTCATTAACAATAATTCACCTATGGGCATTCAGTAATTACACGATTTTATGGAGGCTGCAAGTGCGTAATGCCGGATGCTCTACCAGATGAGAGCATTTGCTTAAGCGGTAATATAATGTTAATTATGGATGAAGGGTTTTGACCAGAACTATTGAAGCTAAGCAGGAATACTGTATCGCTGTAATCTTTAAAAGGATACTCTCTAAAAACTTACAGGGCTATCTATATACATTTTAAAGGTGCTGAACTGGGATTGGGAAGTGCAGTTTATACAGATGTTCAAGGTGGCATGGCAGTAACGTTTTTCAAAGATGCCGAGTTAATGTTTTGGTGAAAAAGTTCACCCGCTCCCTGAATGAACAGAGGGACACGTAGGACCAAGGACGAACTTCCGGGTGAAGACTTCACGCTCGTCCTGATGTTATCGCGCAGATGGAACAAATCATGTCATGTGATTGACCCGAATTTGTAATTTGCACAATAACATCATGGGGTGTGTGATGTCACTTGCCCCCCTTCCCCAGCACCCATTTGCTTCTTCCTTTTTATGACTAGAATGTATAAAGTCAGAGACTCGCATGTTGCTTGTAAGTGCAAAAATAATTTTGTACTATTCAGAATGGTGGGGTGCACCAGGAAGCAAAATTAACTCTCAAATCATGTCTATGATCTCTAAGGGAGATTTAACTGTGGCATCCCCTATCACATCCACTTTTGAGAATTGTCTTGCAGGGTCCCGAAACTTTCTTAGAAGTGGCAGGTGGCAGCAGACCACGAGAAGAGAGAGAGAGAGAGAGAGAGAGAGGAAGGGAGGAAGGAAGAAAAGGAAGGAAGGAAGGAAGGAAGGAAGGAAGGAAGGAAGGAAGGAAGGAAGGAAGGAAGAAGAAGAAAGAGAAAGAGAGAATGAATCATGGGGTATATGACATGTGATAGAGTAATCTGTAGGAAGCGTGGTGGCTGCATTCACCACACTCAAGACTTGGACTGGAGATGAGAAGTTGATGGTGAGATTGACCAAGCACAAGAATTGGGGTCTCCCAAAATGCTTAGTCAACATGATTTTGAGAAATTCTGGATGTTGCAATGCCAATACTGGGGAGAAACGTGGGAACGTCAGGTGTATATCTCCTCTGTTCTTCACGTGAGAACATCCAGAAAGTCAAGATGGCACCCACATAATTCAAGCCCTGCCCTTTTTTAATGTGCCCTGCATTGATCACACACTTGTAGCTGCCATCTTGCTTTTTGGATGGCCTCCCCGCCCCCAAAGCCCCTGCTCCCTGCTCTAGAGAAATGTCACAATTTACGTGGATCTTCAAATCACAATAACCTTTTTCATAGCTATTTTCTGGTTCCTTTTTTCCTAAATGCATTTACTTTCTCTAAATACTATTTATTTGATTCTTATACCCCTTTTCTACTCCCTTGCATGTTCATGGTGGCTAACCCTGACTAAAACACAGAATACAAAGAGAACATTTAAGAGCATAAATGAAAGCAATTGCAAAAATTACTTAGTGATTAAAATCCTGGCAAAATGGTGCATTTTGGCTTCTCTTTTGACAGAACAGTTCAAACCACCTTCCATTCCACGGTCTAGCAAGAACCTTAGATAATACTTATCCCAAATGTAGAAACAGGAGCAGGAAAAGAAGAAGTGGCTGGAGGAACTTTATTTCCTAAAAATCTGAAAGTGTCAGGCCCAGCCCAAGAACAACAAGGAAACAATCCAGCCAAGTTCAGTTCTTTTATTGCTTACACTATATAGACAGAATCTTGCGAGACTGCATCTTTCCTACTGCAACTAGTGAATATACCCTGGGAGGTTCTAGGGAGCGGCTACCTTAAATTCTTCCTCTTCCCACACTCCTGCTCCGGACTGTGCTGCCTCTTGTCTCCCCCCACCTTCCTGGAATGTGCTCCCTCCTTCCTGAGAACCCGTTGCGCTATTGCTGTCCATCACATCACGTCCCTCTTCGTAGATACATTCCATAACAGAAAGCAATATTTTCCCAAATTATAATAGGGATTTATTGCATATATTCACCTCAATTGTTCTACCTTTGGAGTGAGTGCAAACAATGCCAAGGGTTGAATGAAAAGTAATGTTTCCACCTCCATAACTTTAGTTTAAATAGGGATATTTTAATAAATGGAACAGGGAAAATAATCCTTGAAATGAGCTTTTCTGTTACCTGTATTTACCTCTTCATATAGTCACCTCCATTTGCTGCACATTTTGGCCAACAATGGACAAACGTCTGAAAGCCATCATGAAAGAACGTCATACTTTGCCTCTTTAATCAGGTCCTGATCGTCCTTTCCACCTTTTTGTCTGAGTCAAACAAAGGTGTTCCTTCAAATTTTGAGAAAAGGTGGAAATTGCATGGTGGATGGGGAAAGAAAGTAGATCCAACTTTGCATTTGCATTTTGGGTGGCTCGTGAGCTGTGAGGCCTAGCATTGTCAGGCTGAAGCACAATGTTCTTCCAAACTCTGCTTAATCACTGTTTCAAAGTTTTGAATGTTGCAGTATAGCACTCTGAGCTGACAGTGGTGCCAGAGTGTTATCCATGGGAATAACACCATCTGCATCTTCAAAATTTATAACTGTGAGCTTTCCTGCTGAAGCCTGGGTTTTGAAATTTTTTTTTCCTCTACAGTGAAACTTTATAGTGATATTCCATGGAATAATGCTTCATTTTGGGGTCATAATGAGCCATGTTTCATCAGCTATCACAATGCTGTGAAGAAATGTTTCACCTTCATTCTGGTAGTGTGAGAACATTTGCTGATAGATTCAGCTCTTCAACCTTTCACCCCTGTCATCAGTATGTGAGGAACCCGTCTTGCACAAACTTTCCAATTTTGAAGAACATCAATAATGTGACCCACATGTTCCTGTGAAATGCCATGCTTGACAACAATTTCTCTTTGAGTGATTGCTGATTGTCCTTAATTAGTTCATCAACTCTTCTCATGTGAAACTTGTCAATTGCTGTCATCTACTTTGATCTTGGCCAAACAAGTCAGCTTTTCCTGGTTCTCCATCTTTACATTTTTTGGCCCTGCAATGCACAGTACTCATCTCAACACAGCCATTTAAGCAACCTGCATTTTAGTGGTGAGTTTCAGTTGGAGGGACTCATTCAATTACAGCACATTGCTTAAAGCACAACTGAAGTCAAAGGACAGATGCTAAAGAACACATCAGTTTCTAGTGCATCAGTACTGCCATCTACTGGCAATTTATAACATTGGGGGCCTTATTTTTCATTCAACCCTCATAAATGTTCTGTCTCTCTCCCCCACCCCTGCTCCCACTGCCTTACAATAATTTCAGACCTGTGTGTAGCTGTAGGTTACAACCAGTCACACATTCCAGTAAAGGACATGTCATCCAGATTCCAAAAGGTGTAGGGTAACCTAGAAATACTATAAAAACAAAACGAAGTCAATGGAGCACCAACTCCTGCTGCAGCTCTATCCTGTTGATAGAGTGAGCTAAGACTGATAGTTGATTATTAAGAGCCTGGCCACTAAGAGGCTAAGAAGTAAGCAGTTTTCCTTGACTCTTGATAGTCTTACACAAGTCATTTATCACTGTCTTCTAATGGGATTTCTTTAACCTCCCAGATTACCCTAGGGTTTCCTGGTGATCTCCCATCCAAGCAGGGCCAGATTAAGGCCAACGGATGCCCTAAGCACAGCCCAACAATGGTGCCCCTTGGCCCTTTCATTGCTTCACTGGCAAGGCATTAAGACTCAATTAGCGCAGAAAACTAAAGTTGAGGGTGGCAATGAAAGAGTTAAGGGCAGGATAATTAAGGGGAAAAAACCTCTGATACTTCCCTTCCCTTGGGTCCTAAGCATGGGCTTAGTCTGCTTAATGGTTAATCCAGGGCTGCATCAAAGAGTCTGAGTTCCACTTAGCTTTTCCGTGATCAGTTAAGGACAGCTAGATGCTGCTCCCTACTGGCCGAATTGCATTGAAATTGCATCAAACTGAGGTACTTCCTGGATTGTAATCCCACTCATCATGGTAAAATGTAGCAGTTGAAGTAACTGACAATTTAATGAACATTGGAACTGCTGGATAGTCTTTTTTCTTATAGGTGAGAACCTACGAACATAGGCTAGAGGAAGCAGTTTAGAAGTCCTTCATCTAAGAATGCATAAATACTTGGGCTGGGAGTATTCTGATCTCATGAGAATAGATCTGAAATTTGGGATCTCACCATTCACATATTATTAACTCACATCCTTCCAGTGTTTGCTTACAATCC